AATGAAACCAGCTGCAGACGTTTCAATCAGAACTTGATCGTGTAGTGGTATCTTTATAACGTGCCTTCATTTCCTACTCATCGGATGTATTTTTTGAGTGGTAGCGTGTTCATTATGTACTTATTAGATAAACAAACTATCAACAAGTGTTGCGTGCTAAACGATTCGATTTAAACCCATTTAAAACATATTAAATTTTTGTATTTTACTTTATCACCTAAACACCACTTAATTTTATCCCGTCACTAACGAAAAATTTCAGTAAATCTGACATTTTTGTGTTACTTTGCAAAAAAAAAAAAAAGAAGAGGAACAAAAGTTAATATTTTATAATATTCAATAATTTGTGGAAATTTTATTCACACGTATATTTGCATATTCACATTCCCAAATGCATGTTATACGTGTACGCCTTTACGTACAATGCTAAATATATCCACTACGTATATTTACTAATTGTTGTGCTTATTATCACTTTAAGTGATGATCATACAAATAATTCATTTTAACTGACTGCCAAGCAACTTTCAACACTTTTCTACTTAAATAAACGAATGGACGTATGGACGGATGAGCGAATTTACGTAAAATATATAATTAATGCTTATGTCAAAACATAATTACAAAAAAGATATGTTTATAATTTATTTACTACTTATGGGCATTTCCACAAAAAAAGTTGAGTGTATTTTTGATTTTATTTCCACATTGGAAATCCAACATATTTATATGAAGATGATAGAAAAAAAGTGTGAAAGCTATTTATGCTTTGGGTTTCAATCAATACTCTATACCAATATATAATATTATGTGTTTGCGTTAATATTGGTAGTTCTTTCATTAGAAAAAGTCATTTATTTCGAAAAATTGGTGCAATGCACATTGACCAAAATATTTTCAAACATTTTCTACGACATTTTGCCAAATCTCTAGCAACATGGCGATATCATGCCGAAACAACTTATATTGGTTTGGCAGTGATGCAATCATCGACCCATGTTCGCACTTCTTCAACTTTGCGCATCCGCTTGCTAGGCAAGCCATGTTACATCCATCTGAAGAAGTGGTAATCAGAACGCGCGATCTCTGATGAGAGCGCCGGGGGTGGCAGAAGTTCCCATTCCCTGGGCAACTCTTCAAACAAGTGGAAAAAATGGCATTTTTGATTAGTTGGCGAGGTAGTCGTTTTTCCTCCTTTTGGCTTGTTCCCGTCGCATGTGAACGTATGGAAATAAGCGATTCGTCCATTGCTAAGCTGTTCGAAACTTTTTTGAAAGTTTGAGTTTCGTCTAATAAGTCTGGCAATAAGTCTGCGGTTTTGGGCTTTTTCGATCATCGTGGCCGTTTTTTGTCATTGACATTAAAATCATATGATGGACTAGCATTACCAAAGTAGGTGTATTGTTTAGATAAGAGGTGTAGATGAGGGGGAGGGGGGGGAAGCTAAAGTTTAAATTTGAAATCAATCACTTGAGAATTGACGTAAGTTCGTGGGAGGTTCATGAAAATGATTTAGAAAAGGTTATATAAACGTTTTAAATAAAATTGTGTATACCTGATATTTTAGGCTTTCTTCACAAAGGAAGGGAGCGTAATCTGATTCCCTTGCTTGCCTTTAATAATCGTTTAATTAGAATTTCAGCTTAAGAACTTTTGTAATCCATACACTATTTGATAAAATATATTGAAAATCCAATTATTCATTTTGAATTGTTTTACGGTCTTAATTATCTTGGTCGTATCATAGGCATTTTTAAATTCCCAATATGGATCTAAGTGGAAAGGAAAGATTACTTACTTTCATCAGTTTATTTAAAACTTTTTAAAGTGAGGAGTACTTGAGCCCTTTACGGACGGAAAGACGCACATTGTGGAACTCCTTTGACACTAAGTTTGCTTTTTCTTCTTTTTGTCGAGATTTTATTAGTAATACCGCTCCTTAAATATTTACTACTCTTTTTGGTTGGAAAGCAAAGAAAATTTTCATAACGGTGACTTAAGATTTTTTTTGTCACTAAATTGTACATTTTTCGTATTCTCGAAGCAAAAAAGGTGGCCAACGAATAATGCATACTACTATTAGTACAAAATTCATTCAACGTCAAGCGAATGTCGTTTCTAAGGCAGAATCGTTGTGCTGTCGGCTTCATTTAAATATAAATTTAATGGGAACTGCACTTTATTAAAACCACTCTCTAATGGCGATATTACATATGTTTCATCGTTGCATTTGTAACGCCTACAAATCACAGGTCATGTGAACTTAAGGCAGTAGTTCAATTCGTTTAGTTAACCATAACTTACTGCCTACTAAGTGCTATTCGTATTATTAAAAAAGGGAAGAAACCAAAAGGAGCTAGTTTGCCCCCTACATAAGTCTTTGGACATGTTGCCCACATATTAATAGTTCTCTTGCCCTCATATAAAGATGATAAGGGCAGCTAGAACATAAAGCCAACTATGAACTTACGTAAGACGACATGTATGGCCACGAAACTTGTTTGAAGTCTTTATGAGAGTGCTTGGAAATTTCAGTACAATGAAGTGATTAAACTTGTCTTGCTCGTCGTATCTCAATCGAAACCAATTTTCCGATTCCTAAATCAAAATTCGCTCAATCTACACTTTGCTTTTCTGACCTAACAGGTTTTAAGCGTTCGTCTTATTCATATTGGTATATGACTACTTTTAAACATACACGCACGCTTAAGTCACAATTTCGCCAACTGCGACACGTTAAGTGGCCTATCCGCCTACATGAATTATAGAAGGCATGTTCGCCTCCAAGGAAGACATATACACGTTGCAGATCCCATAAGCTGCATAAATATTTTATAAGAATAACAGAAGGAATCTTTCTGATCGTGTTCGACTGTTCTTTCGTTCAGAGCAAGTTTTGTAAGAGCAAGTTTTGCCAAAAGTTTTTTTTCTTTTTTAGCTCGTCTCTCCGCCTGTCTTGTTTTCTTGTTTTCAACCTATAAGTCGCAAGTCTGTTTTTAAAAGCGAAAAATTGAATTTCTGCTCATATAACATATAACGATAAATATTTCCCACCCGATCCTAATGATTCTGCAGTACTTAAATAAAAATGAATAAAATCGTATAAAATTTTTATTTTAACTTGTTGTTTTTAAAGATTGATGAGATCGATACAAGAGCATATAATTGCCTTACCAGTTAATTGTTGTGAATGTGTGTGATGTTGACAATTGCATACTGAAATGATAAGAGTATCATACATATATATTAGTTTTATTTACATTACACAATACGACAATACAAGATGTCATATCTTTGCTTACATCCTGGCAAGCTGCCGATGGGAATGAAAAATTTCCATTCACAATTTTCATCCATTTTAAATTGTAAACTAAGTAAATAATAATTATTAAAGAACTCTTTGTTCAAAGTTTAAATAGATAACGCTATTGCATGTATAAGCGAACTGGTGGTTATCACTGCATATACCCTTGTCTTCGTTCAATCACCCACACACAATTCACTTTCACTTCATGTCTCTTTCGTTTCATTGCATAAAAGCAAGAATTTTAATTATATACAGACTACGGAAACAATTAATTAAGTAAAAAATGCTACCGTATTTTCTGCCTTGTACACAGACATTATATCATCCTTACTATCGTTATCATTCAACGCCCGTCAGTCAGTAATTTGTTAAGCAAAGTGTTTGGACCTATTGAAATATTTAAACTCTATCTTAATCAATGCACTATAATTATTGTGCTGACTTTGAATTTATTTACATGCGAACCTTATAGGATAAATTTTAACTCATGTGTTATTTTATATCACCGTAAACAATCTTGTGTGCAGTCAGGGCGCCCTTGAGATTTCAAATCTATGTATTTTGCATTACTAATGTAAAATTCGAATACAATTTGGGCAGATATGTGTGCATACGAAGTGTGCAATCATCAAAAACTATTGGATCCTTAAATGCTTTATAGGTATTTTTTATACCCACCATCGAAGGATTGGGGATACATGTCAAACAGTTGGGAACGCCCAGAAGGAAGCATCGGAGATCTCACAAAGTACATATATTGTGGATCAGCAACAAATTCTAAATCGATTTAAGCACGCTCGTTTGTCCGTCTGTCCATCATTGTAATGTTTGTTGCAAACATTCTTCTGACCGCAAAAAAAAAAACTATCGAACTAAAATTTGCAGAAACATTGGAAATTCTTGGACGCAGATTGGTATTGAAAATGGTCCAAATCGGTCGAGGGGCACGCCCACAGCATCACGTAAACTGAGAACACCGTTGTTTTTTTAAAAGGAATGAACAATTGATTTCTCGCTCATTACTCATAAACTGAAGCAAATAAATGTATAAAAATTTTAAAACATATTCTATGGGCGATGCTGTAGCATTCTAGCATAAAAATTGAAAAAATTCACCACGCCTACCCAATATTATAGTGAATCGAAATTTGCTTTTTCAATTCATAAAGCGCAGAAACAAGTTTGAAAAAAACCCATGAAGTATACAAATTCTTGGCCAGTTTCAAATCTGGAATACACCTAAACTTACCCGCCTGTTCGTCTATCCGTCTGTCCGTCTGTCTGTTTGCGCAACTTTGTAGTGTTTGCAGTAAGCATTCTTCCGTTAGCGAAAATGAAGAAAGAGGTAAACTTTTCAAAGGACACACGTGGAACGCCCACATGCCAAAGACTTTTATTTTGAAAATAGATAAATAAAAAAAAGCTGCGCCCTCTCCACATTATAGAGTATAAAAATGGGTATAAAAGATTCTGTGCCGACCAAATTTAACTTTCTTACTAGTTTTAAAATCAAAAGTTCAAAAGGATCATACCGCCCCAAGCGGTAGTTCTCGTGTTAAGGCGGATATAAGTTCTCCCTACTGTGATTTGACCTAAAAGGTCTTAGCATACGTCAAATTAAGTAAACAGAAAATGAATAAGATTACCAACCGATTGCTAATATATGCTGTCATTGTTTCCTGATTACTTTCAGCTTTTCTTTCCTTGGTCGACTTAAGTAAAGCGGATGGCGTTCATTGGGGTTATCCAGACTTAAATACGAATCAAGGTATTTTAGTTAAACGGTTCGTTGAAAATTTGATTTTCTTAAGGTATAACTTTAGAGCTTATTCTCTTTTTTTTAACAACTGAAAACACTGTGCGTTTATATGCCTAACCAACACATGACAGTTCGTTTTTTTTTTTTTTTTTTTTTTTTTTAAAACAAAAAAAGTTGAGTGCGAGTTAAATTATAAAATTGCTATAATTTTGCAATATAAACAACAAGTGACATATAAAAGTGCGAAAGTATACGTATGTAGGAAAGTGTTTTGAGTATAATAGTTCTATCAATTCTTTGTGCAAAATTCATTTAATTTGTGTGATTCTATTTGTTTTTATTTAAAGAATTCCCAAACTGGGGTGGTCTCTGCGACACCGGTAAACTTCAGAGCCCTATTAATTTAAGCCTCCGACGGGCGGTGAAGGGTATTTATGAAGTTCCTTTGCAAGGCATAAATTATGGTGAAACGATAAATGCAGTGACTTTGGTAAATAATGGCCATTCAGGTAAGATGTCAAGATTTTATTGCTAACTAAAGAATATGCCAGTAAATTATTACTGGCATATTATTCATATTAATGAAGGTTTCATTATTCCATTCGTAACAGTCAGAAATACGTTCTAAAGTCGTTCTATAGAAAATATTATTTATTCCTTAATCTACCTTGAACTTCTTCGTTCTCTCGCTCGTTCATTAATTCGTTCACTGCATCCTTCTGCAGTTGTTTATGTCAACGCTTTCGTCTTTTGCAGTGAGACAAAAAGTCAAACTTCAGTTATATTCCTTTAGCTTAGTTCCACACAAAACATGTTTGAAAAAGATTTGTTAGTTAACATAATGGAAAGCGGGAAAAGTGGATAGGCTAAAAAAATGTTCAGGATACATTTTGTTAAAAAAACTACCAAGAAAATCGTATTGAGGAATACCTACGACCCGATATTGCAAAGAAGGCAATAGGATGAGAAACGATGCACCGAACGAGTAAAACAATTTGTAGCAGCTGTTTATGTTAATGTTGTGCAAGTTGTTTTTTTGTATTTTGGAATGCAACTCATTTAATATCCTATACCGCTTCAACATTATACGTATGAAGTTTTTGTATAAAGGCTTTTCAAAATAAGATTTTATATAAAAAGTGATCGAAAAAGTGCTCCGGACTGAAATATTTTGAATACCGTTCGTCTCTGTACCGAATTTCATCAAAATGTCTCAAAAATTACGGCTTGTAGCTTAAACACAAGAAAATAGAGCAGGCAGACAGACAGACAGACGAACAGACAAGCTTAGATCGATGCAAAAAGTGGATCGATCGTGACAATAGCGGCTTGGAAGTTGAACGCAGGGAAATAAGACGGATAGACGGACAGAAGCCATGCTTTAGAATGGCCAAACAAGAAAATGTGTCTCAGTTCTGTCTCTCCTTCTCGTTATTCGCAACTTCCGATACGTAAGTCTATTTAAAGCATAAGAGGCCGCCGTGGTCCTATTCTTTCATACATTTTCTGGTGCTAGCGAGTAGTCAAGATTGGTTTATACTATTTTTAAGTAACGTTTTTCATTTATAGTACAAATTTCCAATTTTGGCATTGATCTAAGACTAAAAGGTGGCCCTTTGGCTAGTGATTACATATTGGAACAAATTCATTTTCATTGGTGGTCCGAACATACCATCGATAGCGTGCGCTATCCATTTGAGGCACATTTGGTTCATCGCAATGCAAATTATGAAAATATAACTGCAGCTGCTCAGCAAAAAGACGGTATAGCTGTTTTAGCGATTCTCTTTCATGCTTCTTTACAGCGTAATGAAGCCATCGATGAAATTTTGGAATATTTACCTAAAGTTAATAAATATGAACACATCAAGAAGCCGATTCGTGTTAATGTTGTTTTTGAAGTTGACGATCTGCTCCCAGAGATGGACAACTATTTGACATATAATGGATCATTGACAACTCCAAGCTGCTCCGAAGTGGTTACTTGGCTCGTAATGGCTGAAACATATCCCATAACCATAGATCAGGTAAAAATAAATAAGTGAGAAGTTCTTTCAGCTTTTAATCTGTATTCTTACGTTTTGTTTGATTACAGATTGAAGCATTCAAGGCTGTGGAATTTGAATCGGGAAGAACTTTAAATAACAATTTTCGTTTTGTTCAAAATCTCAACGATCGCGCTTTAATTATTGTCGCAAATAGAAAAACCGATGACTTAAGTGATAATTCCTCCAGTCGTCTTCACTGCACCGCAGTTAATGTGATTCTTTTCGTTTTAATTGTGAAATTATTTTTATAAACAGCGCCATTTTGCCAAGAAACTTTTTTTTTGTAGTGATTTCTGCTCGAAAATACCAAAGACATTTGCTACGGCGTGACCATTCGAGTATATTTCGGGAATTATTACTCTATTGTCGGAGAGATAGTTACGTGTAATTTAAGCTAATGATACTAAGTTGTGTGTGTCTTTTTTCAATGAGACTTTTCGCTAAAACTAGTCAAATTTACCATATAACTGATTATATTATAAAGATTTAGAAAGATATTTTATGTGTCAACCGGCTCCGGCTGGACCCAAAAAACAAATTTTTTTTAATAAAAAGCAAAATTTAAAAAATTGTTAAACAAGATTTTAGGGATGTGCCAAGAATTCGAAAACAAACTTTCTTTTTAAATTTTTTGCAGAGTTTACAAAGAATTTTGTTTATGATAAAAATGTTGTTGACCTTCATTGGCATGCCAGTCAAGTTTATTTTTCTTAATGAACTGGAAGAGTTCTTTCAGAGTAATTATTACTCAAAGACATTCAATTATGTTTGATTCTTTGGTTCTAAGATGATTTTATACCTAATGTTGCCGTCACAGTGAGTTTATCTGTCGCCTCATTTAATCTGATATGATACCTCGGTCAATGATTTCCCGGGACTGATACATGATGCATGCATTACATGACGATCGATTTTAGAAAATGCCAATGCCAAATGTCAAGTGGCTTATGAAAATGTTATGCCATTTCGATCATTTCGCCACATATGACAACAGGTTTAGTCAACTTGCTTTTGCTATTTTCAAAGCAATGCGAAATGGGAATTTTATGTGCCGTCCTAATATACAGATTTTCGGGAGGAGAATATATTTTTCAAGCTAAAAAGTGCTTTCAAAGGTGTTTTGGCAACATTTCTCGGACGAAAAGAAGAATTTATTGATGACGCGCTGATCTTAGAAGAGACCTGTTGAACGTAATGGACGTCCAGAGAGAAACCGACAAGTGAAGTTGCAAGAGGCAGCCGACATCCGAAAGATATCAAGATGCTGCGTAATCATTGCTTTGCTTGTGTATGAGAAACCTTCCTTTCCAAATAGGGAGCAATGAAACAATAACAGTTAAAGTAGTAAAATTGCCTGAAAATTGTATAAATTGAAATATTTTTGCTGCAGAGGGAAAGAGTTATATCAAATGATGAGACTACTGCGGAAACTTAGAGTCCAGATAAATCGTTCTATAAGAAATTAGAAAAATATCACAGAAACGTTGAACTAATTGGATCAATTCCTCTTGAAGCAAACGTTGCAGAAAGTACGCGTTTTTCTTAGTCTCGCAAATTATTGACTGACATGCTGAAAAGGGGGAAAAAGTTATTCTCTTGAAAATCACTTCATCACATGATATAAACTTATGTGTGTTTTTGTCACACTGAAGTACAATACGTTAAAAGGATAAAAATTAAAAAATTAAGGAAACATTTTCGATTTTATCACTAAGTTTGATGGGATTATTTTTTGTGAAGTTATTGCATTAAGCGATAATCACAGTAGGGAAAAACACCGCAAAGTACGAATTACAGTGAGATGCGATTCTTTATATATGTCATGCAAAAATGTGTTTGAATAGAATTTCAATTGATTCACTGTCATGCCTACGGGAGAACTGTGCGATGAAATCTAAGGCATTTTTCTTAGTGTGCAGATGACATTTAATTAACGTCTCAAACACACGCATTGATTTCAAAGAAGACTAAATAAAATACATGATTTATATGAAAAGCAAATATTTAACCTTGACCGTGTAATACATACGTAAATCCATCCAAGTCGTTTGTAAGCTATTTTTGACACATTTTTCAATATATGTGAACAACGCAATCACAGATTTTTGCGACAATGGTTTTTTTTTATCTTTTTATTCATAAATAAATTAACATATTTGGTCGAATGATTACTTTTTTAAGCAAGCATTTGCGAACATAAAAACATTTTTTTGTTATGATATGCTAATCAAGATATCTATGAACTTATACACGTGTACGTATCGTATCGTCGGCTGTGCACCTAGCTTTACATATAAATAAATGAAAATGTATATAATGACTTGTTCTAAAGTTCGCAAATGATTGCTTTTTGAAAAACTCATCGTGTGATATAACATTCCTTAAATTTCTTTTCAATCAAGTTGTTGTTGCATACAAAAAGCTTTCAAGCACCAAATGATTCTAAGCAGTTTCAAGTTAAATGAATTATTCATTAATTTTAATTTTTTCGGCTTGACGGCGTAAGTCACCCACAATTCAAATCAGCTGATCATCGAAAAGGTCTTCACGATTAATCTGCGAGGGTATTTCTGCACCTGAAACAAGGTAAGAAGAAGGTCACACGAGTATATTAAAAAATATCAAAGAACGTATTGAAATCAAAACGCGTACACAATCTCTCTTTCTCGTCCTACTTTTCTCTTTGGCTCTCACTTTCACTTTCCTATTCCTATTTTAATCAAGAGTTCATTTCAACTTTTGTTCGATTTTTTGAAAAATCATCTATGTGTGTGAATAGGTTATTATCTTTTAAAATATAAAAGCGGTTTAGACAACTCTGCGCCATGATCATTACAATTTATCTTAATCATTGTGATCGTAGAAAAAATTAGCTGGAGACGTTGTCTGCACTTGTCTTTCGGGCTTATATTAGATAGTCCAAAAAAAAATTAAGCACTCAAAAAGTCACAGTACATATCATTTTGTATTTGATTGCAAGATAGAGGGTCGATGATAAAATGCAGAAAATATCCAACTGACATACGATGTTGGAAGTCATATCTTTTTAAAGCATTAAAGGCGTGTATTGCTTTTACGTAACTAACAAAATCTCTAAAATGTATTCGCGTCCGATAAAAGTCAGTGTAGAATACGTTTCATTTTATTGGTTGGTCTATTGTGTTTTGTTTATCCTAAGGGAACTTTTGACTTGGACTTTTAGTAAAGGGACATAAAAATGAAGTCACTTACCTGTCAGAGTAGAAAGCTGTGCTATATACTTTTTAATGATGAGAAATAACTTTAAGGAGAGGCTAAGGTAATCTTCCTATTATTTGTTTTCTTTCACACAATTCGTGGCATTCCAATTTCTTTTTTTTCAGGCCATGCGGGGACATTTATCATACTTTTTTTTCAATGTTATCAGTTGTTAAAGAGACAACGTCTGCAATTTATGCAAACTTTTTATCGGAATTTGGATTCAATCACGGGGACATTACGAGCGTTGGTTATTATTAACTTGGTATAAATAAACTTAATGATTTTTAATACTACGAAGAATCGGAAGAAAGGAAATAATGTTTTGATGACCTGCATCTTTGCATATTTTGCTTATAAGCCACTCTTGCAAGTCCAGAAGAAAGGCATATGGATTAAAATTGTTCGGAAGTAGAAGAAAAATCGGATATAAGTTGTAAAAAGAATCGTAAAATTTGCCATAGTGGTCGATACACCAAAGACTGAAGACCAAGATCGTCGAGATATACCGTCGATATATATAAAAAAGAGTATACTTTGTTTACATTTTGCAAAGCATTTGTTTTTTTTTATTTATTTTTAAAATATCATCATATTCGTAATGCGATGATAACGATGAAAACATACGAAATAAAAGCTGCATTTTTTATTATTCATTTCAATAGAAAGATGAATCAATTTTTCGCATATCATTATAATTATATTAAACAAATGATGTTGTCCATAAGCGAGGCATTTATTATTATATGAGTTATTTGAATATTTCCAAATTATAGGGAGGAGTTTCCGTTCACACGAGTTATGATCTCGATTAGCAATAAAAGTTCGACTGCAGCACGATTAGATTATCAGTTCAGAATTGAACGCTCATCAAGCAGCTAAGGAAACGTTACAATCTCTACCAGAAAATGAATATATTCATGGTAGGATTTAAGATGTTGTTTGAAGAATTTATCAAAAGCAAATAATAAAATCGATTTTTTTCTTGCAGACAATTTTGTTCGCATCTCTTACAATAAATAAATCTTCGTCAGAAATCGGATCGCCGTACAGTTATTATAACAATTATAATGAAATACCGTCAACGTTTTACCAACCACCGCCTGAAGTGCAACAGCCTACGTATAAAAACTATATACAAGTCTTTCCTCACAATTCACACTTTCATCACTCGCCACCGATCGCCACTCAACAACAGAAATTTATAATCCCAAGCCAAGAGATCACAGGTGCTGTTGTAAAGTATCCTATACCGTCAGACATTTCCGCGCATTTTAATTTTAACCATCAACCAACTGTAATAGCAAAAGCACCTCAGACTCGTTATCACCACGTACACGAATCAAAAAAACCGCTTATAACTAAAACTGTTTTCATTCACGCGGCTCCGGAGGAAACAGAAGAAGATATCGACCAAGAAGCAATTCAATTAGCTCAGCAGCCTCGCAAGCATTACAATGTTATCTTTGTGAAAGCGCCATCGCAAACTAGCAAAGCAACTGCTCTCAATTTGGTCAAGGGGCTTAAAGAAGAGAAGACTGTGGTTTATGTATTAAGTAAGAAGACAACTGCTGCCGATCTTCAAGACGCTATTGCGGATACACCGCGACATATTAATAAGCCTGAGGTGTTCTTTATTAAATATCGTACGCACGAAGAGGCGGCAAATGCCCAGAAAGAAATTTTAACGCAATACGATAGTTTAGGTGGTTCCACGACCATTGTTGATGAAGGTGTTGCACCGACCACTTCTGTTGTCGATTCACTTAACGTTCACGATTCAAGTGATATTGACGATCATTTGCAACATATCGATCCAGCGCCGCAAGAGATTGCAATTGCCCAACAACAGCCTCAATTACAAAAGAATCATTTTGAGGAAGACGAAGTAGTGAAAGCATTTTTAACAACGAATAAGGGTTATTTGCCGCCATCAACGCGAGCTCTTTGAAAATACATAATCCATTGAAGATAAGTAGTTGGTGTAAAAATTATTTTTAGTTGCATTTTAATACTAAGTCTTAATCTTAAGGTAAATAAATATATTTTCTACTGTTGAAACACTATGCAAAGACTTTTTAAAATATGGCCGCTCCACAGAAAAGCCCGATTCGAAATCAGTTTCTAAATCCAACGGTATAATTAAAAAGATAGGCCTATTCCAATTACTTCTGGGTGCTGCTTAAATTCACACAAACTTGATATATCCTTTCATCGCAAGTGAGGCAGAGAATAAAATTTGTTGTTGAAATGATGTTGAAACAAATAACTGCAGGAAACTATCGACTTTGGTGCAACCTTCGACTCATTGCAAATAATTCCCGAAAAACAACATATTAGAGGATAAGTTGAAAAATTACATTTGCCTTAAGATGAGATTGAGCCTTTCACGCACCACTTTAGCAGATCGATACCATTTTTCAATAAGAGTTCCAATTAAATTTTATATGTGGGTTAGGGGTAAAAAGAAGTGCCTTTATCAGATCGGTATACCCGCTGGACGCGGCTGCAATAAATGCTCGTTCGTAAATCGACCACATTTATCACTCGGCCAGAAGCCGACCACGCTGCTCTCCTTTCGTTACTACTTCTTTCTCTCTGACGATCATCCCTTTTTTACACATGTAGAAGATATTCCTTGAGGATGATATTAAAACAAAAATAAAATATCGGTAGTGCGCAGTCGCTCAACACAATAATAGCATCGACCCTGACAGAAGTGATTTGGAGAAGGCGAAATAATGAAAGTTTATCTAACGACGAATAAATTGTAACTTAGCGTTTTTTAAGTATTTTGTAACTAGATCACGTCCAATTTCAATTCAGCTTTTCGACACTACGAGCCGAGAGTTTAAATATAAGATTCATCTTTTAATTTATTTTTCGTAGGGCATGAAGTGTTGAAGACAGCAGGCAAGCAGAAGGAAAAATCAATTTGATTAGATGATGTCAGAATCTTGGGATTTTATTTTGCATTGAATTTTTATTGTTACGTTTATGTCGTCCAGACGTTGTGCAAGACTTGTTCGCCGCTATGAACATGTTGCGTAGACGGCTGTCACTTATTTTTAGACACCAATCGAATTTATTACGCTAGTCACATGCCAGTATCTATTTCTTCAGTCTAATTCTTGTTACCGGGACAATTTCAGATAGCAAAGCGCAAAGACGCACTACGCTTTATAATGTCTTCGGTGCGCGTCGGCGGATATTACAACACTAACGACAAATCGTGCATATTTTTATTCCTCAGCAATCGGCGGTATAATGAAATAAATAATTAATGTCATCTTATAATTAATTAATTATAATAATTTAAAATTATTAGACACACAAATGCGATAGTTATGTGATTACTTAGGAATAATTTCTATCTCTTTTTTTAAATGCGTCATTTGCTCCTCGGTAGTCTGCGGCACTTTATTGCTGGTGCAACCCTTCGTAATTGTCCGAATGAAATCGTAATAAAAATGAATCTTAGCATTAGCGTCGGGATAGCCTTTGGCACAAGGGCGTCCCCAGTTAACTAATCCTACCAGCTTGTTATTATGAACTAAAGGCCCGCCGCTGTCGCCATGGCAAGCACCCTTACCCTTCTCATTGAAAGTGCATAAATGGCCGACATCTATCCAAGCACTATCGTTATGAGCAGCACGGCACTCTTCAAACGGTACATATGTCACATTTAATGTTTGTAATTTCTTTGGTACTTCGCCGCCTAATGACAGCGTACCCCAGCCTGTTAATATTAGTTCGTCTCCCTCTTTCAAAGGTGCGGTATTCAAATCCACAGGTTGAGTATGTTCATTAAATTCTATGGTTTCGTTTAAATGTATTAAAGCGATATCGTTAGCATAAGCGGGATTATTGTAACTGCAGTGCTTTATAATGCGATCAACGAAATAGTAACGGCCCGTACAATTCTTAAGTTCTTGAGTACCGGTAAGTATTTTAATTTTTTCGGCTTTTTGACGAACAACACAATGCGATGCAGTAATAATCCAACTTTTATCAATGATGGCGCCACCGCAAAAGTGACGATTTTTTAAAGTCTGTATAGAGATTTGATAAGGCGCGAGACCATCGGAGGCGTCACTACCTCCGACAATACGATTGGACGTAAATTGTGGCGGATAGATTACATCGCTATCCATTGGCTTTGCTACCGCCATCGATAATAACACACTAAAAAGTAAACGCACGTAAGTAATTTCTCTTCCCTTGTACATGTTATATGTGCAGCAAGACGTTAACTAAATTCTTATTTCCTTACGATTAACACTTTTATATGCTTTACACCCAGCAGGGAGATATACACCACTGCAATAAACTTCTTAAATATTATGTAGAAAGCATGTTAATGCCGATCACGTTTCTGTATGCGAAGCGTTACTTTAAGTACCACTAACTCTCACTTGCCTTTGATTTATTTTTTTTTTTTGTAGCTTATTACCAATGCAAGTGAGTGATCCTGCGGTGAACGAGCTTATCGAATCATTAACAATTCAATTAAGGTCTACATTTATTACCAATAAGTTTAAGATAATTTCATTATATGTGGGTTTTTGAAAATATGGTGCCAATCAAACTTTAAGAGCGCTCTATACGAGACGGTTTGCCGATCATGATCAAAAAATCGAAAGAGATAACTTCTTAGAGTTGTCTTTGTTGTCTTTTATTTAAATACTTACGCAAAATACGAAGATTTAATAAAGCAATTTAGCGCTCTCTAAAGCAGTTGCAATGAAAACAAGGAATCAGAGAAAAATGTCGGGTCAAACTGGCTAAATTCAGCTAAAGGTGTTCCTATGAAATCAAGTTTTTGATTCATTTTAAGTGAAAGCGTTGTGTAAGCAGTAAAGGACTATAAGTGGATCTTTACAATTTGTTTTTTGTTCTCACGTTAGTAGGTACGACGGGCGAATTGGGTATTATCTGGATTCCCTTAGCTTATTGGATTGAGTGAATATTACAATAGCTATCAGTAGGGAAAAGGCGCGAGAAGCTGGCTCTGCAGTGCAAAATAAATTTGGAAGCGGATTAATCTTTTTCGGGACGCATATGATCTGACGTGCTCATCATGAACATGCGTCGACTTGGTCATCGTAAATTTTTAAGCAATGCAAGCTCCATTTTGATCGCAAATGACGCAGCAAGCTTTTCACTTAGCAACATGCCTACGACAACCCGGGCCATCACGAAAAGTTTCACATTTTTATTGCTTTATCAAAAATTCCCGGAACCAATTTATCGTAAGAAGCGATCTTTTAAACAAAATTCCCTCAGTTATTTCATTTGATCGTTTACTGCTTAAGTTTATATTACAAATAATGTCATATATTAGTTTAGACACCATTGGAAAACCTTGTACTTGAGTTATTTACACGTCCAACCGAATGAGCAGGAAGTCTTAGCAGATATTGGAACCCGCCATTACTGCTTGTATCCAGGTGTAGTAAAAAGGAACACTGGCAAATGCGTCAGGATAACCGACAGCACAAGGCTCACCAAAATTAACCACTCCCACCTGCTTACGGCTGGCATCCACCAACGGGCCACCAGAATCTCCAATGCACGATCCCTTCCCCGGGCGGGTATCAGTGCATATATGTCCTTTGCCTAACCACGCCGAGTTACGTATATGGGCAGCACACAATTTATGATTTAAATAATTTAATTCAACTCTCTGCAAAATATCAGAGTAATTGCCCCAAGGTTTAACGCTACCCCAACCGGTCAAAATAAGTTTATCTTTATCGTTCAGATAATTTCGCTTAGCCAATTTAATGGGTTGAGTGTGCTTATTATATACAATCGGTTTAGTTAGATGCACGAGAGCAATGTCATTGTGATACATCGGCTTGTTATGTAAACAGTGCAATTTAACTTCATCCACCAGATATTCAGCTCCTGGTCGTGTCCAATTAAGTGTGCCAGTGACAATTTTCAGATACTTTTTAGGCCAATCAAGGCAATGACCCGCTGTGAGTATCCATTGTGGCGCAATAATGGAGCCTCCGCATACATGTTCGCCGAATACGTTCTGTATCGATACTTGATAAGGTGCTGTGCCCTCGCTAACTGCAACGCCTCCAATAACGCGAGATTCCGGAAGAGATTTTCTCGGTTGCAACGCTTCTAAATTGCTTATAATTCGAGCTTGACCGAAAGCGAACAAATTTACTAAACTAATTGCAATTGTAGTTGAAATGCAGTACATTTTCCCCTTTATTTCAATAACGCTGCTCTTCGCTTCAAGGTTCTTATTGTTAATGACTTTCTGTACATGAAAATGTTTATCTATATATATATATATTTCTATGTATGTACTGTTTTTTAATCAAAATAGTTCTACGAATTATAATTTTTTGTTTAGAATTCAACGAAAATTTTTAAATATTATGCCTTGAGGTTTATTAGATTAACTTGAAACTGTCGTCTTCTGATTTGATAACATTCGATAAGATATCACAAACAAAGGCATTCCCTTATGTCTGGTTCATATAGTAAAAAAAAAAAAACTTAACGAACTTTGGACTTTTAAAAATAGCGTGCTTGTGAAGTCTTTTTTTTTGCAGAGAAGGCAACACATCGGTACTCAAGAATACGATCTAAACTTGTCAATAAGTCCATAAAAACTAAAATGTGCCAAAGCATTTATTCGATCGGCATAAATTAATACGAATTCTGTGGACTTTATTGGTAGATGTACCGGGTGCATAAACAAGTCTTTACTGGTTGTTTTAAGAAATGGTTTCTTTTTTTCTTTTTTTGTGAGCACTTCTCTGCGTAACGGTATTACTTTTGACTTTACTCAGCGATATAAGTTACCTTCGTGAAGTATGTCGAGAGAGCTTTTAAAAGTTCTGTTCCCTGTCTATGCTTCCAACCATCTGACAATTGTTCATGGATTTTTCTGTTCAACCTATTGCCGCACGGCAATTTATGAGATATTTTTTTTTAAAATTAGCTGCAAGGACGAAAGCTTTCGAAAACGATTCGGACTGGACCACTTCCCATATAAAGGTTTGTTTTAAAAGGTCGTTCTATAATATAGTGTAATTATATGAATTCAGAAAAGTAGTATAGGATAGTTGAAAGTGGGTCTTGATCGACTATTCGTCGTTCCGACTGTTAGTTATTTTAAAAAAAGTTATCAGTTCAAATTTACTTTTGATTTACAATAATAATAGCATTTGTAAGGTATGATTCATGGTGAATTTTTACATTCTGATGCAAGTAAGCCTTTTCGAAAAGCATTTTAAGATTAGTCCGTGGAATAAGTTAGTGGAATATTTATAAACTATTCTAGTTTTTTTTAGATTTTTATGATTTCACTACTTGATTAACTTTATTGCACACAATGAACTATAGATCAACCGCATTTCATTAATAATTTACCAAATTATAAGTACACATATATATTTTCTATTAGCGGTCAGATACACTGCGGAAGGAGCGCCACTTTTAATTTTTAGTCATTCTAGAAATTCTTTCTCGTAAGCATATTTCTTTCAAAACCGACTGTAGCGACGATGTGGCAACTAAACCAGAAGTAGTTCATTCCATTGACTTTATTTATCTATTAAGATGATGAGTAGCAAAAAGTCTTTCAACACTTTTAAGAATTAAGTTTTTCAATTGTCTTAAGGATTAATAAACAAAAGTTGCCTTAATTCACTGTCGTATTCTGGTCGATTGTATTAAGAAAAAGTATGCATCTTCTTGTCATAGTCTGGTAAATTTATACGAAATCTGGTGTACCGGAGCAACAGCCACAATAAAAAAGCTCCTCAATATTAAATTTTTTATCCAACAAGATTGTTAAAGATTTTGCGATTGCTTTGTGACTTGGGATGTGTCTGTTGATATTGGTCAGGATCCTTAATCTCTCGATTAATGCACAAGCCTTTTCGTGTTCACAAAAATATTCAAACAGATCTATCCTCAGTGTAATAACAACAGAGCGAAGAGTTGCTGAGAAATGCAAACGATGTGTAATTAAATTTTTTGCTTTTGCTTCAATCGTCATTTTGTCGGGAAAGTCTTTGAATTGACCAAATTAATGTACCTGCGTCCAAAGTTCAAAGCTTCTTATCAGTGAATAATTGTCGTTAAATTAATTTAAGCTGTAAGTGCAAGTAAATTGTTGTTTTTAATACTTTGAAATATTCCTCTCTATTATTCCACACCAGCCATGAATGGAATATTTTCACTATATGCTACATATGTTAAGGATTTAAATTGTAAGTCAGGAATACTAGGAAATGCGATATTCCGATACGGACTTGATCTATTGAATGCGATAAGACTATGACAACTTTCGGCTTTAGGTCTTAGAGCCGATAACTAAATCGAGCAAAATCGAAACAGCGAAATTTTTTAGTGAAGCTCTGCTCTGAAACAGTAAAAGAGATGCTCCTTGGATCAATAGTTTAAAAAATGTGGTAGTGTAGGGTATGTTTTTAGGCCGCTCATAAGTGAACCCCATTTTAAATATGTAATAATTATAATAACTTGTCGGCGCGTGTTATTAAAGACTGTCAGTTGTTCTAAAAAGCTCCAAAAGTATAGGCTACGATTGCGTTCGCCATTACCATCAGCATTCGGGATCTCCGTAAATTCCTGCAACAGCCTACGCTCTAGAGCCCACCCCAATATTCATTACATTAGCCTGAATCTTATCTGCTCGGGAATATTATTAATGGAAACCTTCGGTTCGAGTTTTCCCCGTCCGTTCTTCACGGCAGTATACACCACTTTGTTAACGCGGTGCATAAAAGCTAACTTTAATAAGAAATTTGTTTCATTTACAAGTAGCTTTGAATTCGTACAAGTACGAGGGCGGTATAGAATAAAACCAAGGGATATCCCTGCATAAATTGAAAAAAAACAATCCAAACGTTTGTAGTATTGTAATGTGGCCTGTAGAAGTTAGAGGGAGAAACTTTATTAAGCGAATATGTTCTTATATCATGATGGAGCGTCGAATTGTTCGTTGGTTTATATTGAATCTGCATCTCTTATAGGATTCAAATCAGATTCAAGTAAAGTCGGTCTGAAGACAGTTCTCTCATCTTTCGATTAAAAAGAAATATTTCAGTCTTTATACATGCGCTTAAAGTAGTTCCTATCCAACACAAGGCAAACACCCCTTCCTCCCCATATTTCGGAAAAAGTTTTCTATTCATAATAATGAAAGCGTTGCGCTAAACTTTTTAGTTAAAAAACATGCAATCAATAAGACTTAGCTTAGCTTAACAGTAATGGATTTATTAAATGAAATCTTTGCTTAATCCATTCACTCTTAGTGACTTAGTTTAATTTAGATTTTATTTATTGATTTCTTTGCTTAAAAATTAATGCAACCTTTCATATTGGTACGAATCCAATCGTTGAAGAACGAAAGACGAGCAAAAACATCGGGAAAGCCTACGCCACAAGGCACACCGAAATTGCCTACACCGACAAGAACTCCTTCGGCATTAACTAGAGGGCCGCCAGTATCGCCATGACATGCTCCCGTCGCACTTGGTGGCTGCACACACAGATGACCTTCATCAATGTCATCTCTATTTAAGCCGTATATTTTGCGGCAATTTTCATTTGATATATAGGTAACTTCAAGTTTTTTCAATTCTACAGGGTAATCTAGACCTACACCCCAACTTCCCCAACCGGTCATTGTAAGATTTTCACCTTCTTTCAATTCATCCAATTCGGTGACGGTGATATTTTGCGTCTTTTCATCATAAGCAATTAAAGTTGTTAACTTAATCAAAGCAATGTCGTTGTGATACAATGGTTTATCGAAATTGCAGTGAAATATAACGTCCTCGACTTCGTATTGCCAGGCTTCGCCATCCCAAATGTTTGTACTGGTGACTACTTTCACGTTATTCTTTTGCAAACCAGCCACACAACTAGCCGCCGTAATGACATATTGATCGGCTATTATCGCTCCACCGCAAAAATGATTACCATATTGATTTTGTAGTGAGACTTGCCATGGAGCGAAAGCCTCAGGAGCGATTTCACCGCCTACAATGAGTGTTTCCTCCGATAATTGCTTTCTTTCTATTTCTTGCGCCCTGCGATTATATAGAGCTACACTAGAAGTAGCAAAGATTGTTAAAAGGCTTAAAGCGATTAAAATGAAAAACTTCATAATTGTTTGCCAATAAAATATGAACTGACGATCGTGACGGTATGATTACCTTAAATATTTTTGCTTATTAAATCGTGTTATCGTGTTATCATGAATGTTGAAAATATTGCTACGATATCTTAATAAATATTATTTGGATACTAATAAAATTTATTAAAGGGAAATTGCTTTACAATTACACACAATTACACTCTTTTCGATCGGTAGGTTTTATGATGTAAAACTGAAGAAGTGAATCACTTTATCGATTGCCGCGATAATTCAAAAGGTGTAATAGTGAGTCATTTAATTGGGTCCTAAACTAATTCAAAAGTAGAAAGAAACTAAATTCGACCTGAATCCCGATCGTATGATATGTTCCTTAGCACATTACAGCTTAATAAGGGAATTGCTTTGACATCTATGTTACCAACAACATAACAACATGTTAGCACACAGCATCAGCGTAATGAAACGTATTTGACGTAATAACTTCCAAAGGATAACAGTCTTCAGACATAATGTGACTGCTACCCGTTACATTTGCTAGATGTCTTGGAGAACGTAGCGATGTAATGGGAAGGCTGCTATGGAAAATTCTTAGAAATAAATTTAAAATTTCGAAGGCTTTGAAAGCTTGGACTCTCATCACATCATTTTGAAAGCTTAGACAGCCAAGGGATAATTCTGTGTTGATTTTTACTTTTAAGCTGAAACCCATTGAAAGGATAATTTTTACTTTGAGTACTCCAGGTTTATGTTCTAAGGAAAGTTTTAAAGTTGAAATTGATTGGCCTGCGACGCGACCAAATCATTTCCTCTTTCTAACCGCTCATGAGGAATACACATATGATTCATAAGATATCAGTTGCGTATGTAGATTCAGCATACCTGTGCAGCTTCTTCTTGATTCAGATTAATAATCAAAACAGATTATCAATTATCACTAATAAAACCTGCTTTACGTTTTATTTATAGCCCATCCGAATGGAAATGTAGGGTATTATATGTAATGTGACTTGTCGACGTGAAAACATTCATATTTAAGCTTTACGTAACAGTATAAGTCAAGCTGCTCAAGGGTACACAGTATAGTGTTTGGCAATTTGGAATAAGTCAAGTTCTTTATAAAGAAGAGAACTTCGATGGAAAATGGTACTGAAACGCGACGGGAAGTGAATGCGTTACGATATTCGCAACGCAGATAGCGATAAACAATCAGTAAGAAGCGCTATACAAGTATATGTAGTTAGCAATGGAGACTACCTGGAAGAAGCCTTCTTTAAAGATTTATTTTTACTCAGGCATAGGCCTGATACGTTTAAGTTTGAATAAAAACATGTAGAGCAGAATAACATTTTATTGCATATAAATACTAGTCAGAAATTTATTTGCAAAAGAAAAACCTTATGCAATCATTCAAATACTTATATGTATATATACTTACATGTATATGTACTCTGAAAGTAAACATGGGGTTCCTTCCAGTGGCAATTAGCGTAGAAGACAGCCTTTTGTTTTAGTTCATCGAATTCATGTCATTGGTGTATTTTGTCTTTTTCTAATTACGCTTTGTTGGCATTTTCTTTCAAATTTTATTTTTCTCAACCAAGACAGGAAATGACGCTCCGCTTGTTGAGGCATTCACTATTTAAGTACGTAAGTAAGGAAACCTTGTGGCCAATCTGGCCTATAGTGATAAGAAAGGTAAGCTGATTATTTTTCAAAATCCAAATATATTTAACGGGTTTTTTTTAAATTTTCTAATTTTTCAACGAGTTCATTGCTGTTCTCCCACTCTCTTCATCTACTACTCCGGGCGTTTATTTGCTTAATAAATTTACAATTATTCACTTTTTCTACCTAATTAAAAGTACTTATAAACTATTTTGTTTAAATTGTTTTATGTTAAATATATTTAAAAAAACGTTTATGAACACTTTTTATTCGGGCTCATGGTTCGACGTATCCAATCTAAATAAAAATAGGGACTGGCATGAGCATCGGGATAACCAACGGCGCATGGTTGGCCCCAGTTAACGATGCCCACCAGATAACCGTTGCTTACTAAAGGACCACCCGAATCGCCATGACAAGCACCTTCACCGTCCCGGGTAAACGTGCACATATGGCCCACATCTAAGTCGGGATCAAAATTCAGCATCTTTTTGCAACGCTTATGCTCCACATATTTTAAATTAACTTTCATTAATATGGGCTGCGTCGCTCCCCACAAATATTCGGAACCCCAACCAGTAAGTAGAACATCATCACCATCGTTCATGGGCTCTACAGGTAAAGGAACAATTTTGGTTTTCTCATTAAGCACAATGCTCGAGTTCAAATGCAACAAGGCTATGTCGTTATGATTTGCGGGCACATTGTAATTGCAATGTAGATGAACGTGATCTACATGATAAAAAACGCCTGGATGTGATAGATTTTGACTTCCCGTCATAATTAAGATCTGTTCAGGCTGTTTGAAGACTACACAATGTGCTGCCGTTAAAATCCATTCGGCAGCAATAATAGCACCAGCACAAGTATGACCGAATTGATTTTGTAGCGATACTTGATAAGGTGCCAATCCATCTTCAGCCACACTGCCGCCTACTACTCGATTCTGTGGAATTTGATAATTTTCAGGATATTTTATTAATTTTGCCGTAACGATTGCACTCGTAATTAAGACTAATAATGTTAATATAGAGAACTTCATGTTTCGCTTGCTCTTAAAGTATTAAATGAAATGGATTTTTGCAATGTCTAAAGGCATTCCTTTTATACGCTATTACCGATTGCATGTCATGGCTTTTACGGCACTAACGAGAAGATAATAGATTATATCGTGTGATAGCTTTCGCCTAAGAATTCCATTTAATATTAGATTAGATTATAATTTCGATGAACATTTATAGCATTTTTTTTATACGGCGCATTATTCAAATATTCGAATATATTAATTTTATTCTTTTGTTTGCAGTTATCACGTAGTATTGTGGCACTGCAGATCCTACACACGTCTACTTCCCTTCTCTTTTATTATTATTTACTGCTTTCAAAAAGTATACATTTTTTTTATTGTGTTAGACAGGCCATCGTAGATATCTATCGCATCGTCTCCTTCTTCTAAAACAGAAGTAAGCATTTTGCAAACTTGTGATGATTGATTCATCAACAGAGGGCTCTTAACCAATTTATGCTAAAAAAGAAGAAGCCGCAGTAAACGGACGTGTCCTTGTCAGGCAAAAGGCAGGCAATGGACCATTCGTGTTCGACTTTAGAAAGGTGTAAAAGCGACTGTTACATCTTTTCATATATCGATCTGGTTTGCCTTAAGTTGTGTTCTATCTTCGTGTTCACAACATTTAGTATCTGTTGTCTATTGCTAGCGATATTAACGAATTTTAATTACTTTTAGAAGGCTTTCTGATCCCATCACAGTCCTTTTTCATGTAATTTTGGTGTTATTTTATTAGGACTTCGAGACATTTTTGTTGAGTTTTTTCTTATCCTCTTTTGCTGTTACTTGTTCACATTTCTTCTCCGTTTAACAAAATTAACGTTTGATAGTTGCATACTTTTAGACATTCTTCTTTTTTCTTTTTTTTTTAATTAACACGTTTTCCAATGCTTACCAATCTGTACGCTTTAAAATGTACAAGTAACTATATGGAAGATGAATGCATATTTTTTATACATTTATATATACAAGATTATATATTATTGGTGTCATCTGGAATTTTGTCACTTAAAGATGCTAGGCTGCGCAAGCAATGTAAGTGATCAAGAGTTGAATAAATAGTGAACGGCTCAAAAATTCCTGAAAAGCGGATTTCTTTTTTACCGAAATAATGCTACAGAATTAGAATAGACATAAATAGATCTCTCACACGTTAAAGGCATAGTTGATCAGTGTGATTTCAAACAAAGCAAGCCATTATTAATTTAATGACCGCATGCGGATTTATCGTTTTACGTGTATGCAAGCGATCTCCGCTTAATACGGTACTTGTAAAGCACAATGTCGATGCAACTCGAAACACATTGCATTGATTTTCATTGCTATTATTATTATTATTATTATTATTATAAATTTAGCCAGAGAATAAATTCTAAGACTAAAGTCTTAAAGCACTAGCATCTAAGGCTTTGGGCTTTTTTTGATTTACATTATTTCAAGTTTTCGTCCAATATGCTACGCAACTCTTTAACGTCCCATATGTGTAAGTTTAAATTTCCTATCACGGCTTCGACCCAGCACGGTACGAATTAACCATGTTAAGCGAAGGACGTCTGTATCTCGTAACGATATATAGATATCGTTATATATATGTATATATATATGTTTTTATGAGCCGATAGCCTGTGTTGCTAGTGCTCAATGTCTCTTTTTTTAGTCTAAGAATTCAATTCATTAGTCTAAAATTAAAATAATAATAATAATATGTTTTTATACCTACCGCCGTAAGATGTTTTTTTTTCCGTAATACATGTAACACCCAAAAGAAAGCTTCAGAGATCCTATAAAGTTTACATGTTTTTGATCAGTGTGATATTCTGAGTTGATTTCGCCATGTCTGTCCTTCTGTGTTATTGTGTGGTATGTGTTGTTCGCCCTCTCTTAGCCACAAAAATGAAGACTTCGACTTCAAATTCAGTAGAAACGTAGGAAGTCTCAGCACGCAGCTTCGTATTGAAAATGGGCCAAATCGGTTGAAGCAGAAACGCGCTGTGGAGCGTAAGCTGAACGCAACTCCGTTCTTTTTAACGATAAATTTTGGATTTTTGTTCATTATTCGGAAATTATAAAATTTAGAAGACTAAAATTTTTCCCATTGCTTTACTAGACACCTTACTCTCTAGATCCAAAATTGAATGAATTTTATTGTTTTTCACTACCATGAGGTTTATTCATATTTATCCTAACGCAAACAAGACAGAATGTTTAAAACGATCTTGTACACACCTCGAGTAAAGATATATTATCTGCCTAAAAATGGGTTAGTTATAAAATTAATATGGTAAGACGCCGCGGTTAATTTTTTCTTAATAATATTAGCGATATGGGTATCAACTAAAAGAACTTGGGGAGTAGAACGCGAAAAACATAGCGGTGGGTATGCGAGATTCGGCCCCCGCCGAATATAATTTTCTCACTTGTTAACCTTCAATAATTTTATAACTACCAATATTTTACTGCTTAAAGATATAATTTCTCTCTTCCTTCTTTTGGAGCATTATAAAAGTTGAAATTTATTTGTTAATGGGCGTAATAATCACTCTTTGGAAAACAAGGCAATTCATTATTAATGTAGAAGTCATAATTGATTGTTTTACTTCAGACAAAAAATTTAGAAAGCACATCATTTTATTAAACATTTTTTCTCTTTAGATCAGTTAATATTTAAATCAGTCACAAATTATACGAACACGACTACACGTATTCTGATTTCTTTGCATTGTCTGATGTATCCAATCCAAATAGAAATATGTACTGGCATGAGCATCCGGAAAGCCAAGAGCACATGGATTGGCCCAACTCACTACGCCCACTAAGTGTCCATTACTAATTAAAGGTCCACCCGAATCACCGAAACAAGCTCCCCCGCCTTTGCGGGTGACTGTGCATATATTACCGACATCTAGCCGGGGATCGTTATCCAACAACCCTTTACAGTGTTCATATTGCACGTACTTTAAATTAATTTTCTTTAACATTGCTGGGCCGCCGCCTCCAGAACTACTAATTCCCCTCCAGCCAGTAAGTAAAACGTCATCATCATCATCCATAGGTTGCACTGGCAAGGGGATAATTTGGGTTTTCTCGTCCATCAGAATAGCCGAGTTTAATTGCAGCAAAGCTATGTCGTTGTGCAGAAGGGGTTCATTGTAACCGCAATGTGTGTAAATGCGTTTTACATAATAATGTACACCGGGTTCCATTAAATTTTGAGTGCCCGTTTCAACTACAATGTCTTGAGGTTGCAAAAAGGCAACGCAATGGGCTGCCGTTAATATCCATTGGGCGTCGATTATCGATCCGCCGCAAATGTGACTATCTACCCATTCATATTGTATAGATACTTGATAAGGCGCTAAGCCCTCTTCGGCTGTACTGCCACCTACGAACCGATTTCGCGAGGATCGAGAAGTTTTCGCCGCAGAAAGAGCGACGGTTGTTAAAACCAATAAACTTAAAACGAACAACTTCATGTTGAACTTACTTAGGAAGAACTAAACGAAATAAATTTTTTCTACTTTTCGCGGCACTATATTATCGAGTGAAATCATATTTAAATGCAGTATAACAGTTAATGGGGATTATGGTGGCTTACAAGCAAGGAATCGATTTATCAAATGATTAGATTATAAAATCATGGCAAAAAAGTTTTGTTTACATAGACATAGATATTGATAAGCAAATAATTCTAAATGGATTTCGCCATGTCATCCCGTACATCTATCGAATGCATATCTAGCTATACGCTTCTTTCTTCATCCCCTTGTTCATTCTCTTTTTCATTCTATGCTACGTATGTTCGGGGGATCGCTTCGCCCGTTTACCGCCAATATTTGTTTGAAATGAGTTCAATTAATTGCAAAATTCTAGCGCAGGTACCTCAGGAAGTGGTAATCCGCTATCGTTCCTCTTAAGAGGAGCATAATTCTCTTCATCTTATCGAAGTTTTCTAACATCAGAAGTTATATTGAAAATGAAACGTTTTTCTGGTTCACTCTAGAAAGATGTAAAAGCGATTGTCAAATCTCTTAACCCTTGGGTTATGCTCTGTATAGCTTTCCGCAACATTTAGGATTCGCTTAATTAGACAGCCGCAAGCTTCGGACGAAATTGTTGAATCCTGCGGGATTTAATTCAATGATTTCATCTCTTGTCGACAGCAATTTGTATAAGCAACTTTATGTGTCGATCTGGTTTGCCGTAAATTGTGTTCTGTCTTCGTGTTCATAACATTTAGCCTCTATTGTCTATTGCTATCGATATTAACGAATTTTAATTACTTTTAGCAAACTTTCTGATCCCATCACAGTCCTTTTTCTAATAATTTTGGTGTTATTTTATTAGGACTTCGAGACATTTTTGTTGACTTTTTCCGTATCCTCTTTTGCTGTTACTCTTTCAAATTTCTTCTCCGTTTAACAAAATTAAGATTTGATAGTTGTAAACTTTTCCTTTTTTTTGCTTTTAATTAACACGTTTTCCAATGTTTGTCGATTTGTAGGCTTTAAACGATACGAGTAATTATGTGGTCGTATCAACCAACAATGTGTTTTATGAAACTGCCAAGATATATAATAAATATCAGCGATAATCAATCGACTCGATATTAATCGGCTCCAAAAATTACTGAAGGAAAAGCATTTCTTGCAAAAAAAAAAAAAAAAAAATTATGGTAAAGACTTTCGAACAACACAAGACTGTTTCACTACAAACCATCCCAATGTGAAGGGATCTCACAACCAACTGATAATATTCGCATTGGGGTGCGCGTCATTTTCGAAAAACCGAACAAATTCCGAGCAGTTCATTTAGAACACAAACTTCAGTCGATGTCACGAACGGAAGTAGGCATGACCGGTTTCAAATTTCTGCTTGATCAAGAATATTATTGATTTTTTCGAGAAACTTGTAGTACGAAAATGAAAGTGGAGCGACCAGTCAGTAACTTGGCTGGAGACATCCCGCTCTACTAAAAGTTTACTGAAGCCATGCAAACGAAAGTGAAGCGTTAGCTTGGCAGGAGACAAGCCCCTGTAGTAAAACTTTACTGAAGTTCTTTACAGATTTTGAACACCTATTTTGAACTGAGACTAAGGACATAGGGAACTTCAGAAATAAGTCGAGTTGTATTCCACATTCAAGTTTCTTATTCGAATTTTTCTTGTAATTTTACAATCGATCAAATTGCAGACACGTGTGGGTGCTCAAATTTATGCTTCCTTAATCCCGACTATGAGATCTTAGATTGATTTAATTATGCAGCTAACGTGACATTTGTGATTGATTTAACCGAGCGGTTTTACTGGTTAAAAATATCATTTTTCTAGCTTTCTTTGAAACGTCATAAGAATTGAAATTTAATTTTGATGAGCGTAATAATAATCATTCTTTTGAAAGTAAAGCCATTCTTTATTCAACTCGCTACCAAAATATTGCAGTCTTTTTAACTCATTCCAACAAATTTAAAACATGGATCGCTTTATTCAAAAATGTCTTGTTTTTTTATTTGCATTAGTTAATGTTTAAACCCGACTACGCATTGCACGAGCATTTCTTATTTCGTCGCATGGTTTGACGTATCCAATCCAAATAGAAATATGGACTAGCATGAGCATCTGGAAAGCCAAGAGCACATGGATTGGCCCAACTAACTACGCCCACTATATGTCCATTACTAACTAAAGGTCCGCCCGAATCCCCAAAACAAGCACCTTCGCCTTTCTGGGTGAACGTACATATATTACCGACGTGTAGCCTGGGGTCATTATCAAGTAACTCTCTACAACGTTCATATTCAACGTATTTTAAATTAATTTTGTGCAATTTCGACGGACCGCCACCTCCAGCGCTGCTTAGTGCTCCCCAACCAGTAAGCACAACGTCGTCGCCATCCTCCAACGGTTGCTCGGGTAAGGGGATAATTTGGGTTTTCTTGTTGATCACAATAGTAGAATTCAAGTGCAGCAAAGCTATGTCGTTGTGCAAAAGCTGTTGATTGTAACCGCAATGTGTGTAAATGCGTTTTACATAATAATATACACCGGGTTCCATTAAATTTTGAGTGCCCGTTTCAACTGCAATGTCTTGAGATTGCAAGAACGCAACGCAATGGGCTGCCGTTAATATCCATTCAGCATCAATAATGGCCCCGCCGCAAATGTGACCACCTCCCCACTCATATTGTACAGACACCTGATAAGGAGCCAAACCCTCTTCGGCTACACTGCCACCTACGATTCGATTTCGCGAGGATCGAGAAGTTTTCGCCGTAGAAAGAGCGACGGTTGTTAAAACAAATAAACTTAAAACGAACAACTTCATGTTGAACTTACTTAGGAAGAACTAAACGAAATAAATTTTTTTCGCTTTTTAAATCGTTGGATTATCAGGTAAAATCAGATTCAAGTGCAATATAACAGTTGATGATGATTTACGAGCAAGGAATCGATTTATCAAATGATTAGATTATAAAATCATGGCAAGAAAGTTCAGTTCTTTTACACTTTTTTACTTTAATGTAGATATTAATAAGCAAACAATTCCAAACAGATTTATTCGCCGTCCTATATGTCTACCGATTGGAAGCCTGCTCATTGGCCGCCTAGTAATTACTCATCCGCCTGCCATTTCATGCTCAGTCTGTGCGAAAAAAGGTCTCAGAACGTTTCGCGCAAATTTTTGTTGTTTTTTCACTATTTTACTATTTGCACTTATCCTTTCAATAAAATTTGCATTTTATATTTGCATACTTTTGAGCAAACTTTTTTTGTCTTTTTCTTCTTAAATAAACACGTTTCGTAAGGCCTATTGGTCCGTAGGCTTCAAATGGGACAAGCAACTATATGGTCGTATCAGACAACAATGTGTCATATGAATCTGCTAAGTTATGTAAGTAATACAAGCGAAAATGAATCGAATCAAAAATTCCTTAAGAGAAAGTCTTTCTTAACGAAAAAAACTAATTCTAAAGACTTGCAAACAACGCAAGAACGTTTCACTAAAATTCCTTTAGAAAAGTCTATTGTTCAAATATCTTGTAGAACTCGTGCACGATTTAAGTGTGAATTTAAAATTTGTAATAGACAGAGGACACAGACCAAAAGGCATTGTGTCCAGTGAATTGAAGCTTGACAAGAGAAAAGAAGAGTGATAACAAGCACTTACTTCATTCCCAGTATATAATTAAAAACTAAAGCAATGAAAATTGTATTTGCATCGGGGTTTGCGTCCAATCAAACGATGAAAGAATGCTAAGTAAAACTGTTATAAAACTTTTTCAGTAGAAAACGTCATTCTTGTGTGTGTGTGTCGAAAAACCGAACAAATTCTGAGCAGTTCATTTAGTACGCCAATTTGAGCTGATGTTACGAAGAGAAGGGGGCAGAAGGGGGGAGAAAACCCAACTGAAGCAATGCGTTCCTTACAGATTTTGAACGTCTATCTCGAGCTGACGCTAAAGACATAAGAATGTTAGTAAATAAATCGATTTGTGTATTCCGCGTTCAAGTCGCCTATTCAAATGTTTTCTTCACCTTTCCAGGTAAGCGTCGTCATTTCGCAATCGATCTATTTCCATCATATGTGGACATCTATGGGTGCTTAATCTTCATTCTAATCTTAATATTTTATAGTGGTCTTTGACAATGGATTTAATTGTGCAGTTAACGTAACATTTGTGATTGCTTAAATCATTGCATTTCTCTACATTTCTTTGAAACCTCATAAGAATTGAAATTTAATTTTAATGAGCTTAATAATAATCATTCTTTGGAAAATAAAGGCCTTTCTCTATTCAACTCGCTACCAGAATGTTGCAATCTTTTTACCTCAGCCCGACGAATTTAAAACAAAGATCACTTTAGTTTTTATTTTTTATTTTTTTTTACATTAGTTAATGTTTAAACACGACTACGCATTGCACGAGCATTTCTTATTGCCTCGCATGGTTTGACATATCCAATCCAAATAGAAATGTGGACTAGCATGAGCATCTGGAAAGCCAAGAGTACATGTTTTGGCCCAACTAACCACGTCAACTATATGTCCATTACTAATTAAAGGCCAACCCGAATCACCGTAACAAACTCCTTCGCCTTTCTGGGTGAATGTGCATATGTTATCAGCGTGTAGCCTGGAGTCATTATCCCACAACTCTTTACAACGTTCTAATTGCACGTATTTTAAATAGATTTTCTGCAGCTTTGGACGGCCGCCACCTCCGGCGCTGGTTAGTGCTCCCCAGCCAGTAAGTAAAACATCATCGTCGTCTTCCATCGCTTGCACCGGTAAGGCGATAATTTGGGTTTTCTCGTCCAACACAATAGTGGAATTCAAGTGCAGCAAAGCTATGTCGTTGTGCAAAAGCTGTTGATTGTAATCGCAGTGCGTGCAAATGCGTTTTACATCATAATGAACACCGGGCTTCGTTAAGTCTTGAGTGCCCGTTTCAACCATAATGTCTTGCGGCTGCAAGCATGCAACTTAATGGGCTGCCGTTAAAATCCATTCGGCGTCAATTATGGCCCTACCGCAAAAGTGATTTCCTAAGAAGCCTTCTAATTTGTAATACCTGATAAGGAGCCAAGCCCTCTTCGGCTGTACCGCCACATACGATTCGATTTCGCGAGGATTGAGAAGTTCTCGCCGCAGAAAGAGCCACGGTTGTTAAAACAAATAAGCTTAAAACGGGCAACCTCATGTTGAGCTTGCTTAGAAACAACTAAATCAAATAAATTTATTTCCACTTTTTAAGATATTGCATTATTCAAGTGCAATATAACAGTTGATGATGATTTACGAGCAAGGAATCGATTTCTTAAATGATTAGATTATAAAATCATGGCAAAAAACTTCAGTTCTTTTACAATTTTTTACTTTGACGCTTATCAATATAAACAAACAATTCTAAACAGACTTTATCGTCGTCCCATATGTCTACCGATTGCACTTTTAATCATACGCCCGTTTTCCCATCCACCTCTCGATTCGCTCTTTCATTTCATGCTCCGTATGCTCGAAAAGTCTCTTCGACTGTCTGCTAGGGTTATCGAAAAGTAAGTTTAATAATAAATACAAACAGTTTTTACTCATCATCTTTTTGAAAGTACTTAGTACTTACATTCATTAGAATTCCTCCTAACAGGAGCAAAGTTTTCTTTTTATCATTATAAAGAGATGTGTGATAATGGGCTCGTGCGATGACATATAAATGTAGGGTGACTATTGGCAATAATTCATTATTTTTTGGTAATACGAAAATTCAAATGAAATGTGTCAAAACTTTAATGCTTTACGACGGCATGTAGAGTCACTGTGTTACACAAGAGCTTCAAAGATTTTCCATAGTTTTGAAGCACCGGCACTGAAACAGTTTCAAGTTGTACGTCGTTTCACGAACTGTGTAGCTGGTGGCACTTTTCGGCTGCAAACAAGTTTCATCAACACCTACGGTAAACATTCCAAATCAATATGTGCCAGGCTGCATCTTTCAATAACGCAATCCATCAAGAAAACGGTCGACTCAGGAGCATTTTCAAAAAAGTTTTGTGAAACCAAAACGCCAGCTTAGAAAACGCCCCGCGCTGTGGCTGGAAAGGTCGTGCGCATTGGGTGCGATAGCCCTGTGGGTAGATGAAAACTAGCGACAGTTGATTAAAAAATCATAATCTTTCTCCGTTTGTATTTCCAGCATCCAATCAGCGAACGTACACCAATCCATGCCGGAAAAGTTCTTAATTTCTTAATCTAATCTGTCAAATATCATCGAAATGTTGGATCGTGACCGTTCAAAAATGAAGACAAATTCAAAATGAGAGCTCTCTAAAGAGTCGTCTTGTTTAAAAATTTCCGACTAAGGGTGTTGCAATGTTAGACAGAAGATCTTCGCGCATTCACATATGCAGGTCCAATAATATACGTTCTTTTGGAAAATTTATGCGCAAATATTCTCCAGTGGTGTTCCAAATAACTATAGCAAAATAATTTTCGTTCCAAGAACATTTATTTATACCCGTTTCTGATAGAAGATATTGGTTTTTTTTTTTTTTTTTTTTATGTCAATGAAACCACAAACTAAATAGAGACCAAGCGTTGTAAATAAAAAATACCCGACTTTAGCATGCAAATGTGAGATCGGAACTATCGAGACTAGTTTAGCCGAACGGTAATAGATTCCGAGTGCACTTGCCAGTTTTGCTTCAAACTCTTAGATGCTATTTCAATAAAACTTACCTTAATAAAGATATTAAGAGAAAATATTATTATGAAATATTATTGGAAAGTTTTCTCAAATTTACTCTCAGGAAATATTTTCAAAATAAAAAAATTAAAAAAAAAGCAAACCCTTTTAAGAAATTTTCTTTTATCGCAACAATTAGTTGTAAGTAAAGCTACAACGGACAAAGATCAATGATCTTGTGTGTAGTACATTAATTAAAAAAAAAAATTCATCTCCACAAGTGTTTAAACAGCTTTAAAGAGATTATAGCTTATTAAAAAGAATTTTATATATATTAATAAATCAATAATAGAAGCGCAAAATTAATCTCATTATTTGTACTTTAAACAAAAAAAAAACAAATTCAACATAATTATAAAATATTGTTCACAAAACGTGTCTAAACATTAGCGAACAGAAAATGAATCACACGACGAGTGAAAAAAGAATATATTACGTCACTAAGTTTTTATTAAACAGAATATGATTGCGTTTAGTGAGGAAATGTTTTCTAAAAATAAAATTTCAATTTATTAGCAAATCGCAAAGAGAGCCACAAAGAGGCTGTAATTACTGCGCGTATGAGAAGCGTGCGAAATGTGAAAACGAACTCATTAACTTAATGAACCGAATAAAGTAAAAATATATAATTTTATTACTATGGCTTTGGTGAGAAAATTATAATTACATCCTTTTTTATTCTTTTTGTTTTTTTTTATTTTATTCTTATATTCTTGCGAAAAACCTGTACGCGTATGCGTTTGATTTGCTAAATTTTTCCAATGTAAGAGAGCGAGAGGGAGAAGTTTAATAAAATGTATGAATAATTTTTATTTGACCCACTTAGCGTATGAGTGCTGCCATTCATATTAACTGAACAAAAGAAAACATATTATTATTTTATATTTTATTTTGGGGGCAGGTACTAAGTGTGCTATGATCAGGGATTAATCAAGTGAATCGGGGTCGCAAGAGAGATCCCTCCTCTCGACAAAAAAATCTATAAGTCTAAAACATTACTCAATAAACTCATAGGATAATATTGTCGCTACTCATGCCAGTCACGAAATCGCTCATTGTTGATTTTTCTTGAAAGCTAATACACCATCTACAACTAGCATTGCACTGTCTGTACACTTGTGATGCTTGCCATTGACGACGTGCGACGTCAAGTAATTTACTTATTTCAAGAGAAGTAAGGCTAATATAATTAGGCAAGGCAGACTATTAGAAACTCTACACCATTTCGCATAGTTCGCCAGTTATTCATTTGTTTTGATAATGATGCACCAAAAATGAAACATTAGTTTCGTGCAAGGGTATACTTTTCATGAAAGCCCGCATATTGGAGGATGACCAAAACATAGCATGGCGTGATTCTAATTCAACAAACTTATTTTCCAAAAATTTTATTATTTTGCGCTTTTCTTCATAAAAACCTATAAATTAAACTTTCCTTTCACTTAAAGAATTACTTACAATTCATGACACATCTTACATGAATTGACGTCCGATGGGGTTCATGTGGTTCAAATTTCATCCACTTCGCTTTTACGTTAAATTGTAATCATGAACACATTTTCACCGTAAAACGATAACAACCAGGTCTTTTTATCATGTAGAGGTTTACATTTCCGGAGAATCTTTATATGCGGTCATATACAAAATATAATCCTTCGCGCGGAATTTGGTAAGGTTAGTTTCTTTGCCAATTTACTATTATGAACCAACTTGCACCATGAAATATTGAAAACCGCACCTACTTACCTTACAAAGATTCAGTTTTCGTAGGAACGGTTAAGGAACCTACGGTAGAGGTGTCCTTGACCTATCGGAGCCAAGTTTTTTATACCAATTTGAAATGACAAAGCACTATTATTGGAAATTGAAAATTTTTTCATATAACGACTAAGATGTTGTACGTGGGGCCCAATCCCAGCCATTTTCAATAGGGGTTGTTCAAAGTACGTCAGTGTAACAAATTTCATCAACACACCTTAAAAATTGCCATACGTAAGTTAAACCAAAACATAAATGGGCTGCATCAAAGGGACATAGGGACGGACAATCTTCAAAACAATTGTCTGAATTGATGGCTATGACGAAAGGCGGGTCTCTCCTAAGCCCTTCTGGGTCCCCACTTAACATTTCCTGTACTACAAATGATGTAAGTGCCATAAATTAACTTCGACTGAAGGAGCACTTTTTCGCTGAAACAACGCAACGGACACTAAAGAAGACATAGGAATATGACAAATCCCATGAAATGGCTATTTCTTTTTTAACAGCCTAATGCATTGGATGTTTACACTTTTCTTATTTTAATTAATATGTGAAGGTGTCCCCTCTTATTAAAAGGCAACAATTTATTTAAATAAGTAGAGGAAGAAGAAGAATGAGAGGACGAAGAACAATCATTGATCTAATTTTAGATTTGATTAAAATCGATTGGCTTGTGGCATCTTTTTTTTTTTTTTTTCTTTTTTTTTGAGAAAATATCCTATTAATAATTAAATTAACTTTTCGCCAATTACGGAGAACGATATTATTTCTACTGTTTATCAAACTGCACCTTGTCGGACTTGTAGTCCGTAGATTATTTAATTATTCATGAGAGATTTGTACAAGGACAGATGCTTTTGTGGTGATCTAGCAGTGTCCGCCTGTGTTTTCGTCCGGATCGTGAATGTTGACATCGGCAAGTAATATGGGATTTATGTAATCTTAGAACACGATTGTTCCGCAAGCTTAAAACTAGATTTCTTTTGCGTAAAGCTTGTTTGAAATGTGAAAGCGTTTATAATAATAACTTACATAACCTGCGGCAAAACAAAATTAATCTAAACTTTAGGTGAAATACTACTTGACATCTTGTAAGAGGTAGCCATTAGGCGTTAGCATCTGAAAAACGCCCTTTGTCGACTCTTTAGGCAAACAAAAACAAAAAGTAGAGCACATTTATTATCTACTTGCTTCACCTATCGAGTATTTAGACGTCGTACAAAGGCGTGAATAAATTGTTTACTTATTCTTAAAATATTCTCATCGTTTGTTTGCCCAAATTGCCTTTTTTGAATCAGTTATCAATAATGCCAATCAATTGCAATTAACGGCGATGATTAATTAGCACAAGAAATCAAAGGGAAAGCTTTATATATATATAAATGCACATAACAAATATTTTATAGAAGAAACGCCACTAGTATCGAGTAGTCTGAAATGTATGTGAAAATAATCACCTGCATGATTGTGGAAACAAAAATTTCATTGAAAACCAAATGTACGTAAAAATTTGTGTTACGTTTGCAAACAACATCCGCAATGAACTTTCCAATTTTTGGTGATGTACACTCTAACTGTTTCGGTATTTTAAATGCATTCCATATTTTATGTTGTTCCACCATAAAAGGTGTAAATAAATGTATTTAAAATAAAAATGACGGAAATTTTAACACTTTAAAGCAATTCTTGAATTTCTTC